GTGTGAGTTGTGAGACGGTTTGAGAAAATGCTTATGTGTTGAGGATCCACGTAGAAATGATGTTTATGAGCAAAATGGCTCTCGATATTCATATTGTATATCGCCCCTCAGTTGAGCTTGAGTTTTGGTAGCTTATAGCGCTATATGTCCCCTCAGGGACGGTATTATGCACTTAGCGTGCTTGTGACCGAAATTCGGTATTTTATATTAATGAGTAATTTAGCTCGATGGACACCTCCTTAGGTGAGTGTTATGTGTGGATCGGGTGGCACGCCGCCATGAGTGTGTTATTTGGATCGGGTTGCGCGCCGCAACAGTGTGACATTGAGCATAGTTTCCTATATGCTATTTTTTTGTATGCCTTACTTCCTATTTTCTAAGGAGAGCATGTATTAGTGCGTGAGCTAGGCAGTTCCTTCCAGAGTTCGTCTTCCTTTTTGTACCGCGATTTAATCGGTAGCCTATCAGCACCTTGTGGCATCATACGAGACTTTTGATTATGTACGGGGTGGTTTATTGCCTAAGCGGTTCGTACTGGATGAGGTCACGCATTGGGACGAAGGTAAGTGGAGGTATGATACTGCAAGTAGATTTGTGTGTTCTGTCTCTATGATAGGAGGCGGGCTCTCAGTTTTGTGTTGTGATGGTACTGGAGGGCTTGAAGTACAGCTCTTTCATTTGAGCCATTTTCATGATTTAGGTATGTTCGGACTGTTGCTTATTGGTGCGCGTGTTGTGCGAGTTGTGGCTTAGTCATGTACTAATGTGTAATGTCACCAGAGTAGTGTGTTGATTAGACGAGATCGTTGGCATCTTTAATGAGTACGAGCAGATTCGATTTCAGTATGTTGGAAGGATAATATCGAGCTTCGACTCAGAAATTTGATGTAGCATTTGCCAAAGGGGAAGTGGTTTCATGAATGGTTGATCTGAGAAATGGTGATGGCTTACTACGTGTTTTAGTTATCAGTTGCAGTATATGTAAAAGTATTGGAAGGAAACTTTAGTTGTTAAGAGGTTTTCTACCGGTATTCGGGTGTTGTGGGCAACTACTGTGAATAGAAGTTATCGTTTCGAGTGTTTGGGTTATGTGGAATATCATATGATTGCACCTGAGGTTGCAGGTATGGGTTATTACAGCTGGTTCGGGCTTATTCTGAATATACATGGGAGGTTCTGGTCTTGTGGATGATTTCGGAAAGTGGAATGTGGTTCTATGATTATAGGCGGGATTGGATTGTGTAATTATAGTTAAAATGCGTTGTCGGACCTATGCGAGATAGGGTGACGTGGGATCACCCCCGGGTATATGCTTGGTAAGGTCATTCATCTATTGGTTGGCTTCTAGGACAACTCTGGGTACGCTCGAGGGCGAGCGTTTGTTTAAGTTGGGGAGGATGTGACGACCCGACCCGTCGTCTCATGAGTTACCGCCCCGTTTCCCCCATTTTATGCTTCTTCATGTTTCATCATCGGTATTTGGTGTGTTAGAGTTGATTTGGGTTGGTTTTGGTAGGAAAATGAGGCACTTAGTCCCTTTAAGGAAGGTTTGGGTTGGAAAAGTCAACCGGATGTTGACTTATGAGTTCGAGGGCTCGGATATGAATTCCGGTGTTTCGGATAGCTTCGGGGGATGATTTGTGACTTAGGAGTGTGACGGGAAGTGATTTTGGAGGTCCGGTGTAGAATTAGGCTTGAATTGGCGAAGTTAGTATTTTGGCGAATTCCGGTTGATAGGTGAGATTTTGATCCGAGGGTCGGAATGGAATTCCAAGAGTTGTTGTAGCTTCGTTATGTGATTTGGGATGTGTGTGCAAAATTTCAGGTCATTCGGAGGTGATTTGGTTGGGTTTTTGATCGAATGCGTATTTCGGAAGTTTTTAAAGAACTTAGGCTTGAATTCGATGAGAAATGATGGTCTTAGTGTTGTTTGAGGTGTTTTAATGATTGGAACAAGTTTGAATGATGTTATAAGAGGTGTTGGTATTTTTGGTTGAGGTCCCGGGGGCCTCGGGGTGATTTCGGATGGTTAACGGGAAGTTTTGGTTTGTGAAACTTAAGAAATTGCAGTTGTTTCTGGTATTTTCGTTTCTGCGGAAATGGGACCGCAGAAGCGGTACCATAGAAGCGAGGGGAGGTTGCAGAAGCGGCAGGGACCGCAGGTGCGGATTTGGTGACCGCATCTGCGGAGTCGCGGATGCGACAAAATGGCCGCAGATGTGGGATTTGGATATCTAATGGGATCCGCAAATGCGGAGCTTGACCCGCAGAAGCGGAAGCCGCAGACGCAGGAACTCGACCACAGAAGTGGTTATTTCCGCAGAAGCGGCCTGTTGACCGCAAAAGCGGGAGTCGCAGATGCGACCATGGAGCCGCAGATGCGGAAATGACTGAGCAGTGTTATTAAATTTCATCTTCACGAAATTTCAAAGGGTTTCATATTTTCACTTCGAACTTGGAGAATTTGGGCGAGTTGGAAGAGAGGAATCAAGGGACTTCTTTGAGGTAAGGATTTCTGAGTCTAAAACACAATTCTAAGGTGTTATTACATGAATTTAGACTGAAAAAAACTAAGGAATTAAGGAGTTAGAATGGAGGTTAGGGCTTGGAATTTAAGAGAGTTAAAATGGGGGTTTGAAGGGTCATTTGGACTCCGATTTTGGTAATCTTTATATGTATAGACTCGTGGCGAGATAAGGAGTTCGTTGATGTTAAATTTTCTGATTTTCGAGAAGTGGGCCCGGGGCTCGGGTTTTGCTAATTTCGAGATTTTTGCTATTTTTCGATTGTTTTCGATTGGGTATTGTCCCACTAGCATATTGTGACGTATTCGTTGTGGTTTTGGTCAGATTCGACGCACGAGGAGGTTAATTCGAAAGGCAAGGGCATAGAAGGCTAGGACTTTGGCCAGCTTGAGGTTAGTAATAAATGTAAATGCTGTGTTTTTGCACATTGTAGTGCTATGTGAGGTGACTTGCACGCCGGATAACGGGCGTGGGGTAGAGCACCGTCGGGGATTGTCCCGCTTAATAAAAATTACTACCTAATTAATTGTAGTTTCGTGATATCCTTATAAAAATGGATTAATTGTCATAACTGGGCTTCGTGCCAACTACTTGAATCCTTCAGGGATTATTTTACTAGTTTCTTACCATGTTTCTAGATATTGAACTCAGTCCTGGTATTTAACACTGTTTTGTAAACTCAATCATTTTCTAAAAGTAGAAACTAAAGTAATATTTTTAAATGAAGTTTGGGCTGAATATTTTTATATTATTGTGCCGAAAGGCTTATGTGATTTTGGACTGAGTATGGGATCGGACTGAACGTCGTAGTGGTATAATAATGATATTGATATGAGGCCAAGGGCCTGTTTGATGCCACAAGATGGCTCATTATTGCGCTTGGGCCGTAAGGGGCCCCTCCCGAAGTCTGCACACCCTCAGTGAGCGCCGTCGACGTTAAATAAATGGAGCGGGCTGCACGCCGCAGCGAGGTACTGGAGAGTACCGGTTTATGTGTTTGCATTGCATATTTTAATTGTAATTTATTCTTTATCTGTCGTGGTATTATTATAATTGTCTTCGTTGTTTTACTGTATTTATAGCTTTACCTTGTGTTTATTTGGGATTTCTTATCCTCAGACTTTATTTATATTTATTACTTTCTGGGTTGGAAGTACTCACAATACTCCCTGCACCTTATGTGCAGATCCAGGTACACCACAGGGTGAGTGAGGATTTGTTTAGCTGAGCAGCAGTATCCGGGAGTATCGAGGTAGCCGCATGGCGTTCGCAGCCTTGATCTCTCCCATCTATCTTTATCCTTTTGTTCGCATTTTTCCTAGACAGACTTGTGATAGGTGAATATTCTGTATTAGAGGCTCATGTTCGCGACACCAGATTCTGTGGGCTGATTAGTATTTTTATTTTGGGGTTTCGAATGTTAGAAATTATTTCAGAAATTCCGCATTTAATTTGGTATTTTAGTTGTGAATATTTATTTATCCTCTGTGATTAATCGGTCAAGGTTGTCTAAATGGTCGGGCTTGCCTAGCAGTGTGTTGGGCGCCATCACGACCGGGGTTGGGTCGTGACATCAAGCTTCTCTTAGCCAAGTCTCTGGCGCTGGTGAGAATGAAAATTGAGTCCTGGCTATATGTAAATTCTGCAAGTGACTCGTCATTAGAAAAATGAAGAATCTGCAAGAGTCAAAACTACTTGCTGAGATATCAAAATTTCAGCGTGCATCGCCTAAAGTAGAAATTGTCGTCAAAAGTTTACTAGTAGATTATAGTTATATTTGACCTTCATGAGTCTTTGAATAAACCATGAACTTTGGCTAAATTGTTTTGGTTGTGGAAGTGAATAGATAGAAATGAATGTTGATACTATAATATATATCCCAATGTTTTGCCTTGCCATTTTAAGTTAAGGTCAAGTTCCGTGATAGATTTGACATTGAATTCTAAGGGTTCTTGAAATGATACAGAATTGATGTTGTGGTTTATTTAACCTTCAAAGTTAGGTTGCGGTTTGTTGTATGCTAATTTTCTTCTCAGCCAAGATGTCCCTATGACAAAACTTGAAGTCTTTTCACAAAGTATTTTATGTCTGTAAGGTAGACCGGTTAGAATTAATACTACGTAGTACTGTTGTACAATTTTTCTTTTTTCAATTATTATGGTATTTAATATTTTATTTATTTATTTAATCTCATATATATCTTATGGAGTTACTCTGTTTTCAATGCCAAAATATATTTCTCCAGTTAGCTGACTTCAAAATATTATAATGTTATGGTCACTAAATACTTTTTATATAATGTTATTTTAGTACTATTATGTTCAATACTCCTAATAAAAAGCTTCGAAATGACCCACCAGTCCCTCAATATAACCCCCAGACTCTCCACTCCATTTCCCCAAACCCAAAGTTCTCTGCTAAAATCTCACATATCCCCTAATTCTCTGCAAATATTCTCGCGAAAACGAAGCAAAAATGTGTGAGATTTTGCACATTCAGGGAGGTCAACGTGGGAACCAAATAGGAGATAAGTTCTGGGAAGTTATCTGTGCCGAGCACGACATTGATTCCATCGGAAGGCATCAAGGCGATAATGATCTTCAATTGGAGCGCGTAGATGTGTACTATAACGAAGCCAGCTGCGGAAGGTTTATTCCACGCGCCGTCCTCATGGATTTGGAGCCGACAACCATGGATAGTGTTAGATCCGGGCCTTATGGTCAGATTTTTCGGCTCGATAACCTCGTCTTTGACAGTCCGGTGCTGGTAACAACTGGGCCAAAGGATACTACACAGACAGGGCAGAACTTATTGACTCGGTTCTCGATGTTGTGAGGAAGGAGGCTGAAAACTCTAACTTCTTACAAGGTAATTTGGCTGTTATTTTTTGTGTTATATGCTTCGATTTCCTTTTAGAATGTAGAAAATCAATTTCCTTTATTTACAATTAATATTTAGAAAATTTCCTTATTACCTTATTTAGTCATGAACTTTATATAATTTTTTAAACTTAATTTAAATTATACTACTTAAATCTCCATATTTACAAATAAGATTTTATATAACAAGAACGAAAGTATTATATTGCAACAAATGGCTAATATTTTATTAAGTTAAGATACTAAGTTCAAAAAGGAAATTGAAGCATATAACACGAAAAGTAACAACCAAATTACCTTGTAAGAAGTCAGAGTTCTCAGCCTTCTTCCTCACAGCATCGAGAACCGAGTCAATAAGTTATGCCCCGTCTGCGTAGTATCCTTTGGCCCAGTTGTTACCAGCACCAAACTATCCAAAGATGAAGTTATCGGGCAGAAAATCTGACCATAAGGCCCGGATCTGACACAATCCATGGTTGTCGGCTCCAAATCCACGAGGATGGCGCGTGGAACAAACCTTCCGCAGCTGGCTTCATTATAGTACACATTTAAGCGCTCCAATTGAAGATCATTATCGCCTTGATACCTTCCGGTGGAATCATTGCCGTGCTCGACACAGATAACTTCCCAAAACTTATCTCCTATTTGGTTCCCACATTGACCTTTCTTTTTGCTTCGCTTTCACGAGAATTTTTGCAGAGAATTGGGGGATATGTAGAATATTAGCAGAGAACTTTGGGTTTGGAAAAATAGAGTGGAGAGTCTGGGGTTTATATTGAGGGACTGGTGGATAATTTCAAAGCTTTTTATTAGGAGTATTGAACATAATAGTACTAAAACAATACTATATAAAAAGTATTTAAAGACCATAACATTATAATATTTTGAAGTCAGCTAACTGGAGAAATATATTTTGGCATTGAAAACAGAGTAACTCCATAAGATATATATGAGATTAAATAAACGGAAAAGGGCCTGAATTGCCCCTAAACTATCAGATTTGGTCTAAAATTTCCCCCCATCCACCTATAGAGCTAAAAATGACCTCCCCGTTAATGTCTGGGCTTGCAGCTGCCCCTATTGTTAACAGCTCATATCCGGTTAATAAATAATAATATTTTAAATGATGTGTCATTAAACTATTGGCTGATTTAAAACCCACCCAAAATAAATCCAACCCACCCATTCTACCTGACCCATCAGATCTTAACCATTAACTCAGTCGATATTTTCTAAACACAAAAGAAGGTCTAGTATGTTCATGAAGATGCTAAATACTTACACTTTGAATTCTGGTTTTGAACAGTATATTTGTAAAGGGTTTTGTAGTTTGAATCCTTTGTACAGCCCATACAATTGTTTGCTATGGCTTCTTAGGAGGACAGAAGTTTGATATATGTCTTTTCTCTAGGAAATGCAATGGTTGAAACGATGCCTAGCTTAGTTTCTTACTAATGGATGTTGTAGCTTTTCGGCAATTTTAATTGTCACAAGAATATGTTTTTAATTAAAAAGATTTTTACAAAATATAAGCTTTGTAGTTTGGAGATTCTTGGAAAAATCATGGAACATAGGAATGAATGAACCTAGAAAAGTGATCCACTGTATCAAGGTTGGAATAGCTCTAAGAGTTATGTCGTTGTTTCAAGAACAGAGCTACTTAAACTTTCAAGAACAGAGCTTAATCAAGGCTAAAAATTTCAAGAAAATTACAGGTGCAATACTTTACAAATGCTTAAACAGCACTACTAGAACTATTTGAACCAAAGAGAAGTGTACAAGGAGTAAAAAATTGCCCGTACCTATAATTACACTTGCAATCTAGAAGCAAAAATCAAATACACAGACATCAACCAACTGTAATAAACTTAATTAATATCAACAGAGGATTCAAATCAGGGAATTTGCAGAAAATATCGACTGAGTTAAATGGGTAAGGTCAGATGGGTCGGGTAGAATGGGTGGGTTGGACATATTTTGGGTGGATTTTAAATCAACCAATAGTTTAATGCCACGTCATTTAAAATATTATTATTTATTAACTGGATATGACCTGTTAACAATAGGGCAGTTGTGAGCCCAAACATTAACGGGGAGGTCATTTTTAGCTCTATAGGTGGATGCAGGGACAATTTTAGATCAAATATGATAGTTTAGGAGCAATTCAAGCCCTTTTCCGTTGAATAATTAAATAAAATATTAAATACCATAATAATTTAAAAAAGAAAAATTGTACAGCAGTACTACGTAGTATTAATTCTAACCACTCTACCTTTTAGACATAAAATACTTTGTGAAAAGACTTCAAGTTTTGTCATAGGAACATCATGGCTGAGAAGAAAATTAGCATACAGCAAACTGCAACCTAACTTTGAAGTTTAAATAAACCACAACATCAATTCTGTATCATTTCAAGAACCCTTAGCATTGCAATGTCAAATCTATCACGGAACTTGATCTTAACTTAAAATGGCAAGGCAAAACATTGGGATATATACTATAGCATCAACATTCATTTCTATCTATTCACTTCCACAATCAAAACAATTTAGCCAAAGTTCATGGTTTAGTTAAAGACTCGTGAAGGTCAAACATAACTATAATCTACTAGTAAACTTTTGATGACAATTTCTACTTTAGGCGATGCACGCTGAAATTTTGATATCTCAGCGAGTAATTTGACTCTTGCATATTCTTCATTTTTTCTGATGATGAATCACTTGCAAAATTTACATATAGCCAGGACTCAATTTTCATTCTCACCAGCGCTGGACACTTGGCTAAGAGAAGCTTGATAAGTTGCATCTGAGGATTTTTGCCTATAATGCCTTATAGCTTGATTTCCATGAGGTGATCGAATGTCAAACTTGAAAAACCTTCAACTTCATAAGATTTTAGAGCAACAATTGCGGTATTATCCACCTAAGAAAGATAAAAAAATCATACATCCGAATTTATTGAGGATCTGAGGTATAAGAAAGCAACTAAATAAGGAGGAGAAAGGAAAGAATGAAATGATTAAGAACCTTGATTTCCAAATATTGTAAATATGGGATGCTTCTAATCAAGCAAAGATTAGAATTTAGGCTCGATATATGTAAAATCAAAACAAAAGGGTGGTGTTGCTGATATGGACACTGAGACCACATAGGGAGTCTTCTCTACTCTTTCCCTTCCTTGAGTTTTATTTTGTTAAGCATGGAGGACAATGCTTATTCTTATTCCGGGGAGAGGGGGGGAGGGAGGGGGGATGGAGTTTATTTGATGACATTTGGCTTGTAATAACTTGATAACATTTTCTTTTCCTTTTTATTTATGTACATATTCTTCTCTCTCTCCATTTATCTATATATTCGCTTATATTCATTTATGCTTTCCCTTTCTTAGCTTGTATATTCATTTATGCTTTCAGTAGTTTATTCTATAGCTTCTTTATTTTGTGTTCTTAGTAGTTAATGATTAGTTGAATAGCTTATTATTTTACTTTACTAGCTTCTTTTTAATCTAGTAGCCTCTTTTCATGTTTTAAGTGATCAATAAGCCTTTGATTTTCTTAATGCCACGATTGTTTAATTTCCAAAGGTGGCTTTTATGTGAACCGGATGGCTCTTCCCAACGATGGATGGCGTGACAACCTTCTTAAGAGATTGTCCGTTTTTGATGTTTCACTAAAAGTAGTAGTAATAATGAATAAGAGGACCTAATTGAGTTGAACTAGAAGAGTCGAGCATGCTTCACTTGGTACCAACACACTTAACTACGTGCTTATGATTAAAAACAAGTTCATGGAAAAAAATAGCTCTAGGTAGTGACCTTTTGACTCTTGTGTTGACTTAAGCAATCATCGAGTAGTTTAGTTGAACCATTAGTGATTTTTAATCTTGAAAATGGTTGTTGTGGGCCCTCGAAACTATCCTCTTTTACAATCCAGCTGTGTGAGAAGTGAGATTTTTGTTGCAAGTCCATGTACCCGTGCGAATGATCTAGAACTTGCCCCGAATGTGTTTCTAGGCGAAATTCTAAGTTTTGCTTGGCTTGAGAAGTGATTGTAGGCTCTCATTGACCCGCTTGAAATTTTCCATGTTCCACCAGTGTTGCTATCCCTAGTCAGACCATTTGAGCCTAAGACCTTTCTCATTTGATAACCACTTTACAAGCCTTTAACCAATGTAACGACCCAGCCGGTCATTTTAAGAATTAACGCCCCGATCCCCTATTAACTATTTTTCCCGTATTTATTTCTGCTATTCTGAGTTGCCGGGAGGTTTCGTTTTGAGTTTCGGAGTGTTTTAGGACACTTAGTCCCTAAATGAGAGTTTAAGCTTTAGAATTTGGACCATAGTCGGAGCAGTGTGAAGACGGCCTCAAAATGGAATTCCGTTTGTTTCGTTAGCTCCGTTGGGTGATTTCGGGCTTAGGGGCATGTCCGGATTGTGTTTTGGAGGTCCGTAGCTTAATTAGGCTTGAAATGCCGAAAAATTGAATTTTTGAAGTTTCCGGTTGATAGGTGAGCTTTTGATATAGGGGTCGGGATGGAATACCGGAAGTGTAGTAGGTTGGGTCATATGTGATGTGTGTGCAAAATTTCAGGTCATTCGGACGAGGTTTGATAGACTTTTTGATCGAAAGCGGAATTTGTAAGTTTTTGAAATTCTTAGGCTTGAATTCAATGATGATTTGGTGTTTCGATGTTGTTTGAGGTGTTTTGAAGATTGGTATAAGTTAATTGGTATAAGTTTGGATAGTAGTATACGACTTGTAAGTGCTTTTGGTTGAGGTCCCGGGGGCCACGGGGTGATTTCGGATGGTTAACGGGAAGTTTGGAGTTGGGAATTGCAGCTGAAGTTGTTGAGTTTCCTATCATAACCGCACCTGCGTGAATAGGACCGCAGGTGCGGCGCCGCAGAAGTAGTTTATGGACCGTAGAAGCGGAATTGGCTAGGCCCCACGAAACCG